AAAATAAAAAAAATAAAAAAACAAAATTATGTATCTTAACTAGAGTATGTTAATAACTAAGAATTTTTTTTAATACAAGCCATACTTTTTACTTACCTTGATAATTCCTATTTGTTTGAAGAACTCTCCCACTTGATCTGTAGACACACCCTCCCCAAGTCCTTGCACAAAGATCGTGTTGTTATCTGAATTATCAGATTCTGAATCTAAGGGGAGAAAATTACAGTTAATTTTACATTCCTTGGTTTCACTACATCCTGTTTAGTAGTCAAGAGTAAAAATGTACTACCAAATATTTTTCTAAGATTAAATGGACAGAAAAATTAATGTTAAAAGCAACTGATGTAAACATGCAGCATTTACAGTAACAGTAAGGTTGATCAATTTTTTTGTTTTGAAACATGTAGTTCAGGCTGGCCTTGAGCTCACTCCAGCCCAGGCTAGTCTCCAACTCTCAATAATCCTCCTGCTTCAGCCTCCCAAGCCCTAGATTACAGATGTGCACCACCACACTTGACCAGTAGATCAATTCTTAAACTAAACTTCAAGTAAAGTACATCAAGTCCATACTCTGAAATATAAATGGACCTATTAAAAGAGAGGTCTTGAAAATCTCACTTTTCAGATACAGGACTACAGCTCACAAAGAGATATGAAGTTAAAGCAGCATTCCTTTCTTTGGAGAACTTTTAATTTCTTATGACTAATTAAAAGTTGTAATAAAGCTCTCTAGGACAAAATTCCCCCAAATCTGACATTTTGAACTTCCAAGCAAGCCAAGCAAACCTGCTGGTTTCACACTTATTGCAGTAAGCCTTACATAGATCAGAGGGAAGCACCACCTTGTACATACACCTTACCTTACACGCACACTTTTGGATTAGTATAACAAAGTAAGAAAGATGTATAAAAATTCAGTCCATCAAGGGATAATTCAGAAATTGCCATCCATATAGAATACTTTGGCATCTTAACAAAAACAAAAGTTCTGATTTCAATATATATTATGTGCTTGGCTAATAGATTTTTAACTTCTAAATCACAAACTTTCAAAAGTCTCCATCAGTAAGCTGTAGCATTGAATTTCATTTAAAAATAAAAAGCTACATAAAATCATTGACCTCTAATTCTCTCATGTATGAACTCAGATTTCGTAGGCCCCCTAAGTAGACTATCAATCCAATATAGTAGTTCCTTAAACACAGTTTTTTTGCCTCTACTTCCCCAATGATAGCCATACTTTCATTAACTCTAACTTGCAAAAATTTAAATAATTAAGGCTTTTCAGCAGTAAAAACGTGTTTCTTGAAAGAACAAAAAGTTGACCATGGGAAAATAAACAAAAATTTCCCCAGAAAACTTCCACATAAATATCCCTGAGTTTCTTTTTGACATTTGTTTAGAAATAAAGCTCTCTACTTCAGGTAATACTAATCCTTCCAAACCCAAACTTTTCCTTTCAAAATGTTGAAAACTAACATTTAACTGAAAAATTATAAACTACTATAAATCTTACCAGCATCTGGTCTGGGTCCATAATCCCTGTGACCTAAGAGAAAGGGAAAAAAAAAAAAAAAAAACCTATTTAAGGTAATTTATTTGAAATACTTTTTTAAAAAACAGTGATAAGAACCAAGACATGAAAACTTAACACTTCCAAAATCCTTGAAAGTCAACCATCACAGATGTACAAACTATGTAAATTAAATTTTATTAAAAGTTTTAAGAAATCAAGATGAATGTGAACATTTCTTCCTTAAACCTGTCCAAGACGGCATCCAATATTTTGGCATTATCACTTTTTCATTAAGCTCTGGTTGTGAAGGCTGATTAGAAAATAATTTAAAAACACGTCAGCTGCCTTTATTTTAAAAAATACTGTCAAAATCCAGTGAAGGTATCATTCATTGGTCACCACAGACTCTCATGCAAATACGCTATGTATAAACCCATTGGACTATTTGAGATCAGCTCTGGTTTTTTAATATTTATTGATATATATGTACATATAAATATATATAATTTCTTTTTAAAGCACACAACACACCAGCCTCAACAGAGTAAGAAAGGGCTTAGACTGCGTCTGCGGGATAGTGGTGGCTTTTAGATTTATATAGCATTTCCACTGAAATATTTTGGGATACTCAGCACTTACCACCAAAATTTTTGAAGCCACCGCGGTCACCACCACTGCAGAGGAAAAATTGAAGAAATGATTTCTTCCTTAAGTCTCTAATGTGCTGAGCCCTGGGCTCAATCTACACTTAACTGTCACAAGTAGAGCTCTTAGGAAAACAGTAGTACTGCTAACTTTCCAGTTAATTCCATTTTCATTGACCTCAAAATGTTGTTCCCAGCTAAGTGTTTTCCCAAGGATCTATTTCTACAAGATGCCATTTCAAGCTTACTAGATAACATGTCAAATATACTCTTATTTTAAAATCTTCCCAACCCCAAGCCAAAAGAACACAATTCAAATTGTGACTTAATGCTGGAGCCACAACATGAAGAACACTAAATTAGAACAAATATTCTTTCCAAAGGGGTCTTTTTAAAACATGAGGAAAAAAAAAAAAAAAACTACAAGAATACAAAGGCAAGGTTAAGATTGTAATAGAACAGAAGAGGTAAAAATTTCAGTACTAGGATCCGCTATGATAGCAAATTGTGGGTGTATGAGATGAATAAAAAAAGTGACATACAGATATACACAAAAGTGAGCCTGAATGAGTCTTCAAATTTTAAATCATTCCAAAATCTGACAAAATGAGGACTAAAAAAGTATGACAAAATTGCCCTCCTACTTCATACCTATCACAATAGGGATCTCTTCGTATCACAGCTGTTGAGGTTTGTGATGCCAAATGCTCTGTATACCACACCAGTAGCATACCAGTAGACACACAATGCAACACACTCCAAATATACCAGCTACCCACAGCATGACATTATTTGGCAAACTGCCACGGTTAGATAAGTCAGTGGTCAGAATACAGTTTTATGTAAGAAATCTATAAAGCTCTCCTTAATTAAGAAACTCTTAAACAACTCATCCAATTAAATCTTGTTTCCCAAGACTGAATTAACTAATCTTCTTAAAGTTCATCTGCTGACACAAAAATAAGTTTTCAGATGGTAATATCTAATGTACTATTACAACCCAAGAAGGTAATCTCAACAACTGATATCTCTGTCTCTCACCACTTAATCTCTGCTTTAGTGATTACCATATTCTTTACAAGGCTTTTCTGAACCATATGAAGAAAAATCACTGACTAAATAAGAAAGCATTCTTCCTTTACAATACAAAGTTCACCAAAAATATATACGCACTTCAGCAGTTTGCTATTCTAATAAATGTCTGGAAGCTAACAGCTACCACATAGCTACTACTTTGAGCACCTCTTGTAATTATAGCAACCAAAGTTAACTTTATTAGTCTCATGATGTCTCAATGCATTTAATATTAAAATATTTATACAAGTTTTTCTTTTCTTGATGTATACATTTTCGGCAACCTCTGTATATTCTATTACTTTGATATAAAAATGTTACCCTTTCAATCAACTTAGGCACAGGCACATACATTTTACTTTGCTTTTAAGTTGTATATAATTTACAGGATACCTTTCTAAGTAGGAATGGCAGACTATTTCAAGGCTATATAGATAATACTAGACTTAGACTTTCACATATACTACATAGCTTCATATAAACATATACTACCACTTCAGGGCAGTATCTAAGCCTTTCCTATTCCTCTAAATGACATATACACACAGTATGACATACACACAGTATATGTCATTTAGTCACAGTGTAAGTCACAGTGTATATCACAGCTAACTCTTTAAGAAAGGGAAACCAGACTGGGCATGGTGGTACATGCCTGTAATCCCAGCACTAGGGAGGCTGGGATTCAAGTATGTTCAAGGCGAACTTGTACCACATAATGAGTTTTAAGGTGGCGCTGAACCTTACAGCAAAACCCCGTATTAAAACAAACAAATGGGAAAAAGAGAGAAAAGGGGAAATCAAAAGGGTCTTCTAGATTAAACTGCTGAAAATCTTATTCAAGATCAATATATCGCAAGTGTCTTCAAACAAGATTCTTAAAACACCAAAAAGTGATGAGACAAGAACCAGTGAAAATATTAAGCCTATATTCTTGTGTCAGGAGGTTAAATATCCTCAGGATAAAGGAAACTTTTAAGAAAAGAAATAGGAAGTCATATGCTCACAAACAAGTACTGGAAAGGGTAATTCTTAAATACTGTAGCGTCATCAAAACAAAATATTGGCCAGGTGTGGTGGCACATGCCTATAATCCTCAAGAGGCTGAGACAGTAGGATAGTGAGTTTGAGACCAGCTTGGGCTACAAAGTGAGCTCAAGACCAGCCTGAACTGCATAGGAAGACACTGTCTCTAAATAAACAAATAAGCAGGTTACTAACTTCTTTACCACAGTAGAAGATACACAATTCCATATTTTAAAAAGCTGGTGGTGTACTCTGTAATCCCAACACTAGGGAGGCCGAGCCAGGAGGACTGAAAGTCCAAGGCTAGCCTGAACTACAAAACACAAGACCCTGTCTCTCCTCACCTAAGAAAACACAAAAAAAAAAACACAAAATAAAAACCTAGTTCATACTATTTCCACTATGGCCAATAATAAAAATCAAATTAAAATAATAAAACATTTTTTTAAAAGGAACTTGTCTCAAAGTTAAAGGGAATCTATAATACTAGTGAGTTTGACTGTTTCAAATTTCCTAATCTTACATATAAATGACTTTTAACTTGTCATCTTCACCAAGCATTTCCTCTGAAAATAAAGCAGCCTGAGTTTTCAAGAGAAAGACTGTAACTATGGGAAAACCATAGTGCAGTGGTGGCAAACCTATGGCACACAGTTATTTCTCTTTTATGGCAAAACATGGTAAAGTATAAGTTGTTTTTTCTAAACTAAAACTTCAGTAACACAGGTTTAATCAGTGATGGCACTCTGCAATAAGTAAGTGGGTTTTGGGTTACAGTTTGGCACTCATTTCTAAAAGGTTCACCATTACTGCAATAGTACATTACAAAACAAATGAGTCTTTAAATCAAGAGACTCAGAGAATGGTCTTAATTATTACTAATAAATCATAAAATTTTCAGTCAGAAAATCCTCCCTTGGATTTAGTTTCCTCTTGTACAAACTGGAAGTCTGTATTTTTACTACTCAAAGGGTAACCACAAACACAGAAGCATAAACACAGCAGAACATCTCAGAAAAGCAGGATTTCGTTTTCCACCCACACTTAATGAATTATTTTATTTTAAATTTCATTTAATGAATTAGAATCTACACTTTAGGGTTGAGGAAGATAGCTCAGTTGTACAAGCACCTGCCTGACAAGAGCAAGGTCCTGAGTTCAGTCCCCGAAGAATTTATGTTTTAGCAAAATACATAAATAAGTAATTCTTAAGTTATTTATATGCACATTAATGTCTGAGGCACACTGCTCCAGGTGATTCGTAATTTAAATTAGATGTTTCAATCATTTTCTTTCTTATTAGGAAATTCTGTATTAGTTATTTTTAACCCCACATGAGAAAACTTATTAAATACAGCACATAAAATTCAAATAGTACCACCATTATAAAACAAAAGATATGCCTGCTAAGATTCCTTCTTTCAAACCTGCATTTACAAGTCCTTTACCACTACTGAGGTCTTCTTTGCGGAACCAGGGATTGAACTCAGGCCTTTGCGCTTGCCAGGGAAGCACTTATTCCACTGAGCCATCTCCTGGGCCCCTCCTACTGAGGTCTGGCTGACACAGCAAGACACAAAAGTTCTTTAACACCTGAGTCAAAACATTGCCACAAATTTGTTTTCAATCCCAGAAAAAGTAACAAACATACACACATCAACAATTCTTGAAGGACATTTTATAATGAAACAGTAATGATATTTAACAAAAACATAAGATAGTCAACTTAAACCACAATATGGGGGTTCCTTCAATATTGTATCATTACATATCTAGAGAAGACAATCAGATTCAATTTCAACTCCTTGTCAAGAAAGAAACAATTCACTGACAAAATCTCTGTTCCCAAGGGCCGGCCAAATAGCTCAGCAGATTAAAGCGCCTGCAAGCAGGCACAGGGGACAGGAGTTCAATCCGTAGGCATTGTGACTGGGCATGGTGGCGCGCACCTGTAATTCCAGCTCTTGGGAGGTTGTAAACAGGCAGATCACAAGTCTGATCTAGTAGCAAGACCCTGAACACCCTGTATTCCCTTCCCTAAAATACATAAAAAAAAAAAAAAAAAAAAATCTCTGTTCCCAATATTTAATTTTAAAAAATCTAGCCAGGTGTTGTGGTGCATATCTGTAATCCCAGCACTGGGGAGACTACAGCTGCAGGATCACCATGAATTCAAGCCCAGACTAAACTACACAGTGATACCCTCACTGGGAAAAAAAAAAAAATGAAATCAATATAAATGTCTATCTGCAAGCATTAAAACTGCCAAGAAGGGCCGGGGAGATGGCTCAGTGGAATAAGCGCTTGCCTGGCAAGAGCAAGGGCCTGAGTTCAATCCCCGGTTCTGAAAAAAAAAAAAACTGCCAAGAAGTAGAAGGACAATGTAGGAATCTTTTTTTTTTTTTTTTTTAAATTTTGTGGGGGGAGGGCCCAGCTCAGCCCACCAGGGGGCGGGGCTGGCTGGCATGTGGGGCTGGGGGATTGAATCGTTCTTGTGCTTTGCTAAACTTGTTCTAAGTAGGTGCTTTAGACCACTGAGCCATCTCACCAGCCCAAGGAATCTTTTATTACTACAAAATGTTAAAACAAAGAGAAAAAGGGGCTTAACTAAAAACCAAATAAGCTTAATTTAAAAACTGATAGCACAAAATAATTTATTAAGAGTCTGAGGAAAAGACCAACATTAATTTCAAATGCAAATAATTCACTGAATTTAAAAATCATTCTCAATAGTAGCTCTGTTTGTACTTTATTTTCTTTCATGTTGTATGTGAATGGTAAAAAGGCTTTCTGGATTTAGCATTTATCAACATACTCAAGTACTCAGTAGCCACATGAAGTTAGTGGGTAATGTATTGGACAGTGCTTGGCCTCCTGAAGTGTTGAGGCTGACCTTAAACTTAGGATCCTCCTGCTTCAGTCTCCCAAGTAACTGGGATTATAGGCATGCAATGCCACATCTGGCTTTCATTAACATTTTTTATACTAATTACATTAAATTCTAATTTAGATGTATTTAGGTATTTAATTTCACCTATTCAGTCTGTGTGTGTGTGTGTGTGTGTGTGTGTGTGTGTGAGAGAGAGAGAGAGAGAGAGAGAGAGAGAGAGAGAGAGAGAGATTGATTGATTGATTGATTGATTGATTTGGGAGATTAAACCCAGAGCCTAGTATATGCAAGAAAATAAACATTATCACTGAATTATATAACACTGCCTCTTCCATTTTCTTAGTACAGTCTTCCATTTTCTTTTCTTTTTTTTTTTTTCTTGGTGAAACCGGGGATTAAACTCAAGCCCTTGCGCTTGCTAGGGAAGTACTTATTCCATTGAGCCATCTCCCTGACCCCAAAGAAATTATTTCTTTTTTTTTTTTTCTGGTGGAACCAGGAATTGAACTCAGACCCTTGCACTTGCCAGGGAAGCGCTTATTCCACTGAGCCATCTCCCCGGCCCCGTCTTCCATTTTCTTGATACAACTATAAGAAAATTTTAAATTACATTAAACATTTCATGTTTGTGACCCATGTTGTATTTCTACTGGCCAAAACCATTCTAGACTGTCAACAAAACATGTACCTTTTTTTGCTTGTTTTAGTTTTTTAGGATAGGATCTCAAGTTCAGGTTGGCCATGAGCTCACTGTGTTATCCAGATTAGGCTCAAACTCTTGGCAAACCTCCTGCCTCAGCCTCCTGAGTTCTGGGATTATAGGAATGTGCCATCATGTCCGACCCATATACATTTTTCCTTAGTATCAACTGACTTTATTACAAGGATCTTTACTATAGCTTTATTACTAAGCTCCAAGGCAAATTACACTGTTAACTACAAAAATTAAGAGCTAATTTATCATTTTAAGATACCTGAACATAAAAGCCTTAATGACATAATAATAAGTAACAACGTAAGAAGTTCTGGCAATTTTACAAAGCAGTAATCATGACACTACAATTTAAAAAACAGTAGGAGGGCTGGCCGGATACCTCAGAGACCAGGGTTTGATCCCTGGCTGATCTGTGTAGTGAGACCCTATAGAACCTGTACTAAATACATAAAATAAAAAACAATAAGAATTTACAGTTTTAGTTTATAGTCCACTAAGAGGTTAATGTCAATTATTGACAATAAGACATTCGATCTTCTTTGCTACAAATGCTTTTTCAAAACAACAGAATAGGAGGTGGACATGGTGGCACATGCCTGTAATTCCAGCACTCAGTGGGATGAAGCAAGACTGTTGTGAGTTCAAGGGCAGCCTGTGGCTACATACTGAGTTTAAGACTAGTCTGAACTAATACAGCGAGACCTTATCTTTAAAAAAATAAGTAAAAAATAAATAGACCATGCTTCCTACAGTCCCTATAATTTTCATGTTTTTCTCTTCATATTTGACGTCCTTTTGATCTGAATTCTTCTACCAACCAAGCATTCATAGACTTTACGTCTAAGAATATCTTATCTTTTCCACACATCTGATTCTAATCCATATTCCTACTTATTTAAATATAAACCCAACTAATGCAACCTGATCTTCAAAACAACCCCCATAAAGAAATTTTCAACATACTATCAAGATGATAAACATCACAAATGGCAGTGTTGATGAAGACTAATGAAAAACATTTGGTGTTCAAATCTAAAACAAAATGTTAAAAAAAAAAAAAAAACTTTTTTTTTTTTTTTTTTTTAATTTTGGTACTAGGAATCAAACTTAGGACCTTGTGCTTGCCAGGCAGGCACTGTGCCACTGAGCTATACTCCCAGAAAAAAAAAAACTTGAAACTTGGTATTTATATTCAAATTCAAAATGCTTCACTCCAATAAATAACTGAAAAGCACATTTTAAAATGTCATGACACATGAAAAGTATATGAACTTCCAATTTCAGACCTCTACCCATAAATGAAGTTTCAGTGAAATACAATAAAGTTTAGTTTTTGCACATTATTTACAGTCCACTCTGGTACTCCAAAGGCAGGGTTGAAGAGTTGTAACAAAACCCACATGATCTGAAAACCTAAAACATTTACTACTCAGCCTTTTGAATTTTGCCAACCTGATACAGAGCATAATCACCTTCCATATAGGTTTCTTAAAAAAGGCTTTTGTGAACATTTCATTTACTAGGGGAAGAGAAGGAGTGGGGCCAGACTACAGAACCCCCACTCTATTTTTACTTCCACTTGATCCAGATCAACATCATTTGACCAAATATACACTGAGCTTCTGCCCAAGACTTCGTTGTGAAGGGCTGCTAAGGATCAAAAATAAGATTTTTAAAACTAAAAAAATTTACTTTATAATGGGTATTGAGGCCACAAATTATATTAAAATACATTGCCAAGAAGGTTGCACTGCTTAAAAACTGGAATTCCAGGTAGGGGGTTCCTTCTCAGAAACATGATACAAGGTCTTCTCAATTCTCTAATTATAAGATGCATCCTCACTCACTGATGAAAATCATTTATAAAGACTTCATCTTCCTATTGCCTACATTCTTTTTCCTAAAAAGTGGGATTCCACTATTCTCAGTCAGACCATAGTTTAATAGATACTCTATTGGATTAACTTTTTTATGAAAAAAATTAAGCCTATGATGTAATACAAATGCACAGCACTCAAGGCAACCAAATTATTTAAAACACATCAACTGGAAAATTAAATATATCTGCTAGTTATCTTGTTTTGGAGTTGTCTTAGGTAGGAGGGAGGCTAATTGGTAAAAAGTAAGTGCCATGTCACTTTATATCATTCATTTATATCTGCCCAGAGAGCAGATCACTCTCTTTCATAAGCAAGAGTCATATGACATACTTCTTTTATGTTGGCAAACTACCAATCAAGATGTGCTGTACAGTAAAAATACAGAAATGCAAGTCAGTGAAAAAAGCAAGTCTGTATACAAACATTGCTTTTGTCTCTCAGGATACCTCAAGGCACACTCAACCCCTACGGAGCTTAAGAGTGAACTGGTAGGGATATATAATTAAGTATAAGTAACAGGTTACTGACAGTTTCAATTTCCAATAAAAATACTTTATCTTTTTTTTTTTTAATACTTTATCTTTAAAAAAATTATTTTTTACAAACAAATTTATAATCAACAAGTCTCATTGAAAATAGGTGTCAACTACATTTTCATTCTTGTTTTTAGGGCCAAAATGATAACCTTACAGATATATTTAAAAGTAATCTTAAAACAAGCTTTTGAAACATGCTATAAGAAGGGGAAAAAAACCAAGAACACAAACTAACACTAATAATAGAAATGGGGAAAAGAAAAATTTTAAAAAGCCCTTTTTAAAAAATACAAAATGGCATGCAATGTTACACTATTTCAATAATTATTTACTCAAGAAAGACAAAATTGCTTAATTACATTAAATCTATCTTATTTGCCAAATCCTTTCTATTCTGCCATTCCTAAAATATATATAAAACAGCATACCCCTAGTCTTTATCTACCCAATAAATTCAAAATTAAGGAATAACCTTTTTAACTTCCAATCTAGAATTAACTTACCTTTTTTTTTTTTTTTAAAACAAAACATTTTGATTTACCAGAGCCATCTTTTAAAGGACTCTAGCTCTTAGGTCTAGTAGGGAAAAACCTAGTCAAGTGGTTTAACCACAACTGTAACACAGTACTTTCATTACGGTTTGCAAATATAAGGTGAAACTGTTTACACAGTCTATTCTAAGAGATGAGATCAGAAGACTGAAAATAAATTCAAAATTTTTATCCTCTTTTCTACAATATAATTCCTAAAAGTCTTTTAACTAAATTAAACGTCAAAATCAAACCAGCAAAGTAACAACAAATAAATAAGCAGATAAAGAAAGAAGAAATGTAGCTATCTGTATCTACTTACCTTGATCCTGTCATAGGACCTCTTCCATCCTTGTCATATCCCCCACGCCCTCTACCTCCTCCCTGTGACCCGCCATATCCTCTATTATCTTCTCCATACCTACTCATATCACGACGGTCATCTATAAAAAGGAAAACATACACACTTAAGTGAATACAGTCATTTCTGAAAAGTGGTTCACAAAAAGGCACATGCACATAGAGCTCAATGCAAATAATTATAAAATCATCATGAATTATGTTTGAGAACTGTATCTGTGTAAAATCCCATACTGCTAGAAAAATCAGTTAACAAAATCATACTGAAGAATAGTGAGTTAAAACATAACCTAATAGTTCACATACAAAAAAGCATACTCTAGTCTTGACAATTATTACGTTGTCTCAAAAACATTTAAATGTAAAATAAGCACACATAAAATGTAACTAGAAGAAGGGTATGGAGTGTATGCTTGTAATTGTGGCATGCTGGGAGACTGAGGCAAGAGGACTGCAAGTTCAAGCCAAGCATGGGGAACTGAGTGACTCAGGAAGACTATCTCAATATGAAAACATCGTTCAAAGAGCTGGAGATACAGCTCATTCAGTATGAAGGCTCTAGGTTCAACAGTACTATAAAAAAAAATACAACAGGATCTTTTCTTTTCTTTTTGGCCTTTTGAGACAGTCTCACTATACAGTTCAGGCTGGCCTCTAGCTCACTTTGTAGCCCAGGGTAGTCTCAAACTCACAATGATCCTCCTGACTCAGCTTCCAAGTGTGCCACCATGCCCGGCTCTAAAAACGAGATTTTCAAACAGAGAAGATACCCAACAAATGAGCTTCTACATTCACTTATTGAACAAGGTGTACACTGCTCAAGGGTAGAGTGTGTGGCTAGCATATACAAGGCCACTGGTTCAACCCCCAGCAACAGGGAGAAAATCTGCAAACATTTATTGAGCATGTACTATGAACCAAGGCATAACTGAATAAATGACTTAGGACTTTGCCTTCAAATCATTCACTTTCATGAAGCACACAAAATCCCAACTGGTGTGTACACAGTGCTACAGGACAACAGAGGAAATAATGATTGCTCCTTCTTAGGTAAAGTTAGGGAAGGCAAACACTGTATACTAATAATTTCCCCAATTTAAGTATACCCCCATCACCAAAAGAACTGGCCATAACAGTAATGTCACATGACCAGAGTTCACTGAAACAAAGAACATTCTGGGGGCCAGAGAGATGGCTCAGTGGAATAAGCACTTCCCTAGCAAGTACAAGGATCTGAGTTCAATCCCTGGTTCCGCAAAAAAAAAAAAAAAAAAAAAGAAGAAGAAGAACATTCATGTCTCCAAGAAGCTAAAAAAGAAAAATCTAGAAACAGCTTTTATGGCCCTGAGAAAAGAATTATGCTCAGATATCACCCCAAATTTTTACAAATATGAAATCCTCTGTGGTTCTTTTTTTTTTTTGTACAGGGAAAGGAACTCATGACCTCATGGTTCCCAGGCAGGCGCTGTGCCACTGAGTTATAACCCTGGCCAATATGCCTCTTTTAAATCCAAAAGCAGTATTAAAACTACTTTTGAGGAAAAATAATACAAGTTACTGTATCTTACCTTGTGTATGGTGACTGTAGTTTTCCCTTTGTGAGTGATAGGGCTGTTGGTTTTGATTATAGGAATCATGCTGCTGATTATAATTTGACTGCTCATCATACGAGCCTTGATGTTGATCATAGCCTGACTGCTGGTCATAGGAATCTTGCTGACCATAGTTTGATTGGTCATATGAAGGTGCTCTTCCACCTTGGCTAGAGAGAGATCAAGAACTTGAGAGACTTTATAGAAAGATTGTTTAGCAAGTTGACTGAGACCGGCATAAAAGGCCTGAAAAGCTAGAATTCATCCATACCTAATAGTACTTTCTCATCATTTGGCTCTTTTTTTTTTTAATTTGTTTATTTAGTACAGGATCTATAGTCTCACTACACATATCAGACTTTTAATGGTCCTCCTGTTTTCAGTCTCCCAAGCACTGGGATTACAGGAATGTGCCACCATGCCCAGTCTCAATCTCAGTGCAACCTAGGGGCAGGGCCTGCATAGCACTAGGATCAAACTCTAGTCCCTGTGCCAGCCTAAGTAGGCACTTTAACTCCTGAGCTATCTGGCCAGCTCTATTTGGTGTTTTCATATAGTCTCCTGACAATTCACCATCAATGAAGAGTGCCCCCCCCCAAAAAAAGTGCCACACTATGCAAAACACATGTATGTTTGAAAACTGTAATAAAGCAAGTAACTATGGTTTTTATTATCTCCTTCAGGTAAAAAAAGTAAAAAGATGCTGCAAAGAACACTGTCCAACCCTTTTTTTGCGGTACTGAGGATTTAACGTGGGCTTGTGCTTATGCCACTGAGCTATCTCTCTGGCCCTGTACAACTCTTCAATGTGCCATAAGGGATGAGTTTTTTTATTCTAGAGGCTTTGTTGCTTCATTTTCTCAATATTAAGTATTTTTACAATTATTTCTTAGCATTATTTTGAGAACCTATAGTACATTCTTCTAAATCTTTAATAGTTCAATAGTAAGTAAATTCTATTTGCTCTATATTTCAAATCTGGCAACAGAAATTTACTTTCTGCTGTCACTGTTTATGTGAACTTTATCAAATAGTTAAGACAGCTTCTTTCTGTGAATTCGTAAGGAAAATTCTTACTAGGCAGTGATATGTTCTGTAGTCCCAGTTACTCAGGCAGCTGAGGGTCACTTGAGCCTCGAGGTTCAAGGCAACCTGGGCAACACAGCAAGATCCTCCCTCAGAAAAGGAAAATTCTAAGTACATCTGGAGTAATATAATGGGATTAATTACCTGCTCTTAAGGTGGAAATGTTAAAAGGCAACATCTGACTTGGATGTTAAACCAACAGGTTTACTTGGAAAAAAAAAAAAAGTTCTATCATCAAGCATGATGGCAATCTCAGTTGCTCAGAAGACTGATGCAGGATGATAAGTTTAAGGCCAGCCTGAACAGCTTAGCCAAACCCTACCCCAAAGCAGAATTTTATTTTATTTTTTTAAAATTTATTTGTGTGTGTGTGTGTGTGTGTGTGTGTGTGTGGCCAGCTCTGCCCACCAGGGGGCGGGGCTGGCTGGCATGTGTTGCTGGGGGATTGAACCGCGGTCCCTGTGCTTTGCTAAGCTTGTTCTAAGTAGGTGCTTTAGACCACTGAGCCATCTCACCAGCCCAAAGGCAGAATTTTAAAAAGGGATGAGAATGTAGCTCAGTAGCTGAGCACTTGTCTAGAATATGTGAGCCTATAGTCAATCCTCAGTACCACCAAAATTTAAATAAAATAAATCAATAGGCATGAGGAGTTATTCTTTTCAATACAGCATTACTTCTACATACTATCCTCTAAGTTTGTGCTATACTTTTCAAAGCATTCCCGTATCGAAAGCTGGTACTTTTCCCAATGCTTTTAATTAAATTTCATTTAGAATAATTTTCTTAGGGCCAGGGAGATGGCTCAGTGGAATAAGCACTTCCCTGGCAAGCATAAGGACCTGAGCTCAATCCCCAGTTCTGCCAAAATAAAAAAGACTAATTTTCTTCACTGCAAACAGAAAAACAAGGGACCTCAGTTTCTGTGATACTTTTTAACTGTATCAACAGGCTATATAAATCCTAACTTTTCTTTATCTCTGCAACATGGGGCTATTAACACTACCTTAGTGTTATCTGAGGACCTCTACTAAACGTACACTAAAAAGATGTTTTTAATAATTAATAAACACAACCTCTTCAAAGTACAAATTTTCAAGTTTTACAAAACCTATTACTTCACTGGCAAACTTTACCTACCTATATTATCAAACAAAACACATTCTAGGGCCTATGGCCCGGGAGAGATGGCTCAGTGAAATAAGCACTTCCCTGGCAAGTGCAAGGGCCTGAGTTCAATCCCTGGTTCTGACAAAAAAAAAAAAAAAAAAAGAAATAGACATGAGTGCCTAAACCAAAACCAAAAACCCTATTTATCACAAAGTACTAAGACGGTAATTATCTTGATTACAGTAAGTCCCCAACTTACAAAACACTCAAGTTGCAAACTTTCAGGGTTACGAACAGATCTTGCATTTGTTTTTTCATGCTTTACACTGTATATTTGTGTCAAAGGCACAGAAGACTCATTCAGAGCCAGATGTGGTGGCACACACCTGTAATTCCAGCACTTGGAAGCTGAATCAGGAGGATCGTTGCGAATTTGAGACTGGTCTGGATTTGAACTCAAGGCCAGCCCAAACAGCATAACAAGACCATGTCTTAAACACACAGACACACACACACACACACACACACACACACACACCCCCCGACTATTTGGAAGGACTTAACAATTAAGTCCCACTTACGTTTTCCCAGAACTGAACTTATTCCTAAATCAGGGACTCACTGTACTGAGGCTTTACTTTAGAAAAGACAATTCACACATTAACATATCTTGTCATAAAATAAGTAACATTCATGCCACCACTGTCCTCTACCACTGTTATGCAGTATCTAATACATGCAGATGAGTTTTAGCCTCTGTCCATAACAGAAAAAGTAAATGATCAAGCTAAGGGGTAGAAGGTTTATGTGTCATTGTGGGAGCTGTTTTGATCCCCAGTACCATAAAAAAAAAAAAAAAAAAAAAATTTAAAAAAAGGAATTAAAAGTTAGGTGACAAAAAATACAAAGCTAGGATTCTGAGGATTAAATCTACTTATTTCCACTGCCAAACACAATCTTAGTGCTCTTACTGCTTCCTTACCCTCCTGATGATTCCGTGTGTTGTCCCTGGTTATTGTATGACTGCTGGCCATAGGAGCTCTGTTTTTGATTCTCATAACCACCGTAGGTCTGTGAATAACCTAAACATTAGATAGGTATACTATTTAGTGAAGGTTCTGATTTCAAAATCTTTAAAACAGCAAATTTAACAAGCCAGTCCAACCTGATTGGCTTTGTCCATAACTGGAGTAACTGCCATAGTTCTGTCCATATGAAGAATCACTTGTTTGTCCGTAGCCAGAATAGCTCTGAAATTTAGGGAAATAATCAAGTTTCATCACTACTTAAAATAAAAATAACTTTATGAAGAAGACAATTTACTTTTCAACCTACCTGTGATGCTTGTCCATAGCCTTGGTTGCCTTGATTTCCATAGGAAGGATAACTGTAAAACACAAATGAACAATATTTCAAAGAATGTGCTTAAAGAAATTCAAAAGCTTAAAGGAAGAACCCTGTCTTCATTTTCAATTTTCAACTAAGATACCTTTTCTGAAAAATGTCAATCTACCTGTCTCTTAAGATCTAAGCTAAAAGGTTAGGTGAAATAACCAAAAATTATTAGACATTAACAAAGTCACTCTCAGACCTCTTAAATATTGAACAAGTACCAAAAGTTTGGCTGTAACAAAACCTCATAAATAAAAATTCACCAGAGGTAGAAAATTTCAAGAGAATTATGTTTTGGGGTAAATAATAAAAAATGAGAGGTAAGCACTGATGAACCTAATTTTTTCAAAAGGTTTTATTTATTCTAACCTATAGAAATCTGAATTTGTATAATATTTAAAACATGCACAGTTAAACGAAGTTATGTTTTTCCCTTAAGAACTATATGGCAAGACTATAATGTGAAAAAAAAAAAAAAAATTAACAGGGTCTTGCTATGTAGTTTAGGCTAGCCTTAAAGTCACTATACAGCCAGGCCGGCCTCAAACTTAAGGCAATCCATCTTCCTTAGTATCCTGAGTGCTGAACTATAGGGATCTGCCACTGTGCTCAGCTCATAATATTAGAAACAAAAATTTAATAACTTAACACTTAAGTTTAGCTGCATTCTGACTAATTTCTTCCTACCATTTCCTTTAACTAGGTTTTTAACTTCCTATAAAAGGCAATATGGAGGGTCAGCCAATAGCTCATTGGATTAAAGCACCTGCAAGCAGGCACAGTGGCCTGGGGTTTGGTCCCTGGGCCGGCCATGCTGGCCCCGCCCCCAGGGTATACTGAGATAGCAACTGAGACTGGGTGTGGTGATGCATGCCTATAATCCCAGCTCTTGGGAGGCTGTAAACAGGCAGATCACTATGAGTCTGATCTAGCAGTGAGACCCTGAACACCCTGTAGACTCGTCCCTAAAATACAAAAAATAAATTTTTTAAAAAAGCAGTATGGCACTAAAAGTCCAGTTTAAATGCCTCAGTAATAAGAAGCATGTGCACCTCCACCGTACTGCCACAGAATTACAGTATATTATATTTTCAGTACTGTAGCAAAGCATGGCAAGAACTCAACAAGTAATTGTTCATTAAGTGAATAAATATAACTTCATACATCTAATTCTTTTTTTTATGGCATGGAAGCTCTACGAAGTTAAGAAACAAACTTTGTGGGGGAGGGGGTTGTTTTATTTTGTATTATTAAAGATTGAAACCAGGGCCTTGTGCATGCTAGGCAAGCACTGTACCATAAAGCCACATCCCCCACCCTTGAAACAAACTTTCTTGTACATACTGTGACTTTTTCATTAATATTCTAATCAAAACAAAACATTTGTACTATGTGTTAAGAAAGTTCCTTAACATTAAGAATAAAGTTCACTGACTAAATACTTGCCAGATGCCTACTGGGAGATTAATCTTATCTTTCTGTTGTTGTTAACCCTACTCATGAAAATAAAGAAAATCAGTTTGGTTTTCAAGAAGCTTAAAATCTGATGACTGAAGATATCAGGGATGCTATTCTGAGTATTTCACACTGGGCTGCAAACCATTAGAAAAGTTCAAAGTAGTACTTCTGATAAGCAGGAGAAGCCTATTCCACATATACAAGTTTTTATTGTGAACATGTTAATAAGGACTCTGAAAATCTGCTCAAGAACACATTAGCATATTACATACCAACAAAAAACAAAATGCTTTTTCTAAGAACTTATTGTATCCCCTCAATAATGACCTCTTCTAAGAAATTTTCTAAGAAAACATAATCTTTAGAATACCTAAGAGACTTTTTTTACTCTAGGAAGCATCTAAACATCAATACAAACAGACTTTTGAGAAATGTTTCACAGCTTCCATTTATTACATAGGCCCACTCTGTTCCCGTGACAAGCTAAAATTTTTTGTAAGACATCCAGATATCAAGACTCAAGAGAAAAGCTTGACTACATTCATCTTTTCTTTTTAGCCTTTTATTATTTTTTAAAATGTACATATACTTTACCTTTGCTGCTCACCCCCAGACTGACCGTAACTTCCAGAATCTAAAATACATAAAAAGAATTTTAAATCTTATTTAAAATTATGCTTTGCCCAAGACTGACTTAAACTCAGATAGATGAAATGTGCCAAGAAAATGTTAAAAATTAATGATGAAAACAAAAAACTAAAAGTTATACATTGTGCAGAGAGAAACCTATACTAACAGCATTTGGTTTTTACAGTAACTACATCTTTTAAAATTGCTCTACAAATGTGTGCTAATGATCATACAAACCAGACAAACAAATGTGAATCAGTAAAAATCTATCCTCTAAAAAAAAAACCTGGTAGGCAAGCACAATGGCACACGCCTATAATCCCAATATTCTGGAAGGCTGAAGCAAAAGGATCATAAATTCAAACCCAGCCTGGACAACTTAGCAAGATCCTATCTCAAAATAAGTAAAAAGAAGGGTGTAGACATAGCTCAGTACAAAGGCCCTGGGTTCAATCCTCAGTAATACAAAAACGAAAATAAAACTTCACCATAATTCCAGCTATTAGGAAGGATGAGACAGGAGTATCACAAGCTCTAGGACAGTCAGAGAATTTAGCTAGACGCTGGCTCAAAAGAAAAAAAAAAGAAAGAGCTGGCAGTATACTGGTACAGTGGTAGAGTGTATCTGAGTTCAACCCCCAGTACTCAGAAGGAAAATTTTTAAATAAAAACAAACTCAAAAGCTCAAGATACATACATACACACTCACATGCACACACACATCTTTATATGGAAAAAGACACCTGTTAAAACTCATCGGGCCCAAAAAGGGAAAAGATGTATTTTGACAAGATAGATCCCCAGGATTATATTTACAGTTGTCCCTTGCTATTTCGCAGTTCAACTTTCATGGACTCAATGTTTCATGGGTTTTCAAAAAATATTAATCTGATTTATTGTGGATTTTCTGCTATATCACAGGATTTTGTGGTAGTGCACAGTAGTGTATACGTATTTATACGCATAGTAATTATGGTTTTAACAATTTTTGCTTTAAAAACATTTAAGTACATAAAAACATTAAAATGTTAATCCTAACATTAAAATATTCAATGAAAATACATTCATAGTATTTCTTTAGCTGATGCATATACACTATACAGTATATGTATGTTATTAAAATTACATGTTTAAAAAATGGTTAAGAACATGAGGTGTTTTTAAAAGTGTAGGAAGAAGTTTATAAAGCCTTAAAATATATATAAGTACTAAAATAAATATCATGTTCCTATTCTGCTGATTTTCATTTACTGTAGGGGGTGTCTCAAACATAATCCCCATGGTGAGGGACCACTGTACTTACATATTTCAACCAACTACATTATACACCCTATTCCTCTACATCAAACTGCCGTGACTGTCAGTACCAGTAAAAGATTTTCCAAAAACTTGCTAACAGGTACTTGGCTAGTTACCTCTGCTTTTACTAAGCTTTCAGAAATTCAACCAACGGGAATACCAATTCATTGGTAAACCAACTACTGGCTAACTGCTTCTAGCCTCCATTTCAGGGGGGGGAAAAACTATCAACGAAGGCACAAATTAACATCTCAAAAATAAATGGAAACTATAAGTTGTTTTTTTTTTTTTTTCCACTATTTCCAAATGTCAGTCATATCAAGAATTGCTTACGAGGCTCTACCTTCCTTTAGGCTTCTACTCAATCAAATGAATGACTGGCCTAGACCAGAGAGATAGCTCAATGGACTAAGCGTCTGCTTAGGCAAGTGTAGGGACTGGGGTTTGATCCCCGGCACCACATGCCAAGTCAGCCACCGAGACCGGATATGGTATCATACACCTGTGATTCCAGCACTGGTGTACTGGGAGGCTAGCTGCTGTGTAGTGAGACGCTGCACCAAATACATCTAAAAAAATAAAATAAACCAATTACCTAAATCATTTGTTTACCAGTTTTTTTTTTTTTTGTTTTGTTTTTTTTTTGGCGGAACCAGGGATTGAACTCAGGCCTTTGTGCCTGCAAGGCAAAGCACTTATTCTGCTGAGCCATCTCCCAGGCCCCCTAAATTATTTGTGAACAAGATTGATTTTATGTATGAAATAATGTACTCCCACAACTGCAAAATGGCTCTATAGCTCACACTATTAGCCCAATCACACCTAATTTTAAACAAACCTTCACTGCTCAACAGCTCTGAAAAATTCACCCAAAATTAGTAACTTTTTCAATTAATACAATGGCTACAGAAGTGGATGACATGAAATATTTCACTTTTCTGCAGTTAAGACCTCTAATCTGGGCCAGGGAGATAGCTCAGTTGAGTAAGTGCTTGCCTGGCAAGTGCAGGGTCCCAAATTCAATCCCTGGTACCTAAAAAAAAAAAAAAAAATCTCTAATCTGACTGAAAAGGGAGAGGGAGAACTGTAAGAGCTTATATTCCACAGGGTTTCCACATACTCAAGAAGTTAAATGAAATCTTCACACAAACTTTCTATGGATGTGAAAGGTGTAAGCCTATCATAAAAAGAACACCCACTTTGCTGCTCTGCCCACAGTATCAAATAAAATGACTAGAGCTGGCTAATGAAGAAAAATAAGGACAAAGAATCCAACTAGACCATAAGCACCTACCAAATGATAAAGAAAAAATTAACTTTACAAAGGGTTCTGAGGGAAAAGTGTAACATTTAAAGACACTTGATGCATGAAGTTCTAGGTCAAGTTGTAGCCCAGGGCAAGGATATAGACTCTCCTGTGACAGAGTGGTCCAGGATCACAGTGTATTTTTCGATTCAGGAAAAACCGCAGAATACACCATCTAGATTATATGACCCAATCTCAAACCTAGTGAACACTAAGGTCCTTAACCTAAACCCAGTTCTTTTAGTCAATAAATCTGATTTCTCTAGCTGGCTGACTTTAAAAACTCTAAATAAGGCATACTGACCAGTATATCTAGGTCTAGTGTACATATTTCAGTGATACAGTGCCAGTTTTGATATTCAGCAGAGAATATCAATTTATGTTAACCTCAAACAACTGTTAATTAAGATTACTTGACACACCCAGGAACAGTGGCATAGGCCTGTAATCCTAGCTACTGGAAGACTGGGATAGGAGTATGGCAAGTTCAAGACCAGCCTGGGCAACTTAGCAAGCCCGTTTCAAAATACAAAATCAGAAAATGGGCCAGTGCTTACCTAACACATGCAAGACCACGGGTCCTACCCCCAGTACCAACCACCAGACAGATACTCAAGCCATGTTTGGACTTGTGAATTATTTAGAAGTGCTTTTAAATTTCCAAATGTATCAGGTTTTCTTTTTTCTAACACTATGCCACTGAAACAGGAAAAGGGTACTTTCTGTATCATGCTTACTTAGTATGTTAGGACTTGCTGATTTTTTCCCTAGGAAGCATATTCCCTATATAGATGCTTAAAAAACTTAAGTTTCTAAATTCTGAATTGTCAGTAAGATTATCACTCAGATTTTTGCCCGTGTTTGTTTTTGTTGTTCGGAGTTTTGTTTTGGTGGTATTGAAGATTGAACCCACTGCCTCTGCACCAAGCCACATTCCCATCTCTGTTTTTGATAAAGGGTCTTGCTATACAATCCTCCTACTGCAGCCTCCCAGAATGCCAGGATTTAAAGTGTTTAGTCTTCTCACTGTTTGCCTTGATCAATTATACAGAGGTAGGTTTTGAAAACTTCTCACCTGAACACAGACTTGTCAATTTATCATAACAGTCCTTTTTTGTTTTCTATCATTTGAGGCATGTAGAACTTCATATATACTGGTGAATTTCCTTTTAACATTACAAGACGGCTACTACTCTATACAATCACCTTTAAACTGTCATTTGCCTGGTTTATCTTCTTCCATGTTACATTCAACATTTTTAAGTTGGAATTTTCTTTTTACCACAGAACTTTTTCCTTTTAATGCCTTTCCTATTAGGTTTTTATTGTTTTAGTCAACTGCAATGCTTGATACTTTTCTTCATGACTGAAGTCAATTTTTAACATGCTTCCCTGAGAAAGTTCAAATTATAAAGTTCAACTTCCAGTGAAATATTGACTTTAATACCCTAATACGAATCACAAACCTCACCTGTTGTGCTTCCACTCTTTAATCTCTGCTTTTACTATTCATGTTCAGTAAAGGCAATATTTACGATGTTTCTTTTACACTGGTTTTGTAAAAACTTCCCTTGTTGTTTTTTCCCATGCTAAGGATCAAACCCAGGGCTTTGCACATGCTAGTCAACTCCTACATAACTGAGCTACACCCCTAGCCCTGGATTTAATCTTATTTCAGTGAAGACCTGAAAGTGATACTCAGTTTTGGAGGATTTTTTTTTTTTTTTTTGGTACCAGGGATCGAACTCAGGACCTTGAACTTGCCAGGCAGGCACTTAAGCCACTGAGCTATCTCCCCAGCCCTGTTTTTCTGAAGTACTTATCATTTACTTTAGATCCTCAAAACTTATCAACCTTATCCTGATAACAATTATCAGAGTTTATCAATCTTACAACTTGTTTCCTCTGATACTTTTTTTTTTAATGTTCAGTTTCACAAGAATTTACCAACATATAACTTTTGTTTCATGTTCAAGGTAAGAGCTTCATTTAAAATGTTCATCTACTTTGGAAAAATTGTACTTTAAGCTATTCTTTCCCCATTTTCTCCTTTCCAATCATATTAAACAAGACTTTTCGGGGCTGGAGAGATGGCTCAGTGGTCTAAAGCACCTACTTGAAACAAGCTTGGCAAAGCACAGGGACTGCGGTTCGATCCCCCAGCACCACATGCCAGCCAGCCCCGCCCCCTGGTGGGCTGAGCTGGCCACACACACATACAATAAATAAATGTAATAAATAAAAAAATAAATAAATAATTAAAAAAAAATAAACAAGACTTTTCAATCTATTTCCCATTTCTCAATCTTTTTTTTTTTTTTTCTTCTTTTGGCAGAACCGGGGATTGAACTCAGGCCCTTGTTCTTTCCAAGGAAGAACTTATTACACTGAGCTATCTCCCTGGCCCCTCCATTTCTTAATCTTTCATTAATTTTCATCTTTATTCTTCTAAATTTAATTCTGGCAAATCTCATCACTTTTTATCCATTATTTCTTCCACTATTTAACTTTCCCACTTTTTCAAATCTATGTGGTCCTTTTCCACTCTGGTCTTAAGGTTGTTCAGATTTTTAATCACATTTAGATAACTGTATTGGGACTCTTGTCATTTACTCTCATTCTAAAGAAGTGTTCTGTAATTTTTTTTACTGTTAGGATTGAACTTGTTGCCTCAAAAATGCCAGGCAAGAGTCACACCCTTAGTCTCAGTTCACTTTTTCCAAGGCTTTTTTGCTGAGATTTCTTGTGATTTAAATTGTGATGTTTCCTCCAGAAAAACGTTTTTCATTTTTTTTTTAACCAGGATCATCAATGATTTTATCAGCCCAGAAACAATTTTCCAGTTAATGTGTCTTAAATGAGTAACTCAAACGTGTGTGACGCACTGGTCCCAGGTTACAAATCAAGTAAGATTTCTCACTCAGCATCCAGGCTTATCTATACAATACTAGCAGGGAAGACTTTTTTCAAATTCATTCCTTCCCTGAAGATACAGTCCTTTCAAAACACAAGACGCTGAGCTGGGGAGATAGCTCAGTAGCCATAAGCACCTGCCTGGCAAGCACAAGGTCCCAAGTTAAATCCTGGGTACCAAAAAAGAAAGAAAAAAAAGACAGTAAATTCAAGATTTATGTAAGGGCTTCAGTTCTCATTACCCATTTTAACAATGTCAAGATTTCATTTTATCTCCACACAGGAACTATACCCTATCCTCCAGTATAGCTAGCTGTGAGGTAGCTTCAAGCCTTACCACATTCATTTCTACTTTTATTTGCAGCAGCAAAGACTTGCCCTTTTCCTAACACCCTCCCAACCTTAACTTAGCTTCCCTAGACAGCTTTCATTTTTTCAGTGTTTGAAGACAAAGGGCTTTCAAGATACCTGCAACACTGCCAGAGTACCTTGACTTTGTATTTTTGTTTACTTGATATATTTGTGACTTTAACCAAAACATAACTCACCATTGTAGTGTTTGAATGTCAGACTCATTTAAAATATTTACAATTTTGATTTATTACTTAAGTGCTTACATTTTATTAGGTTTATAAATCAGCCCTGCCAGGCATTTGGAGTGATTGAGTCAGAAAATTAAACTTAAAAGTGCACTCTTGAATGCTTAAAGGACTTGTTATTAACTGCTTACGGGAAATTTAATGTTTATTAAACATTCATCAAACAAGTCAAATGCATTATTTTACAAAGTCAAAAATATTTTTATACACATATTACAAAATGTACATATGAGTTAAGTAGAATTTTAAAGATTCTAGCTTTAATCGACTGTTTAGAACCATACTTATGTTGAACAGTATTTTGTTCCTTGAAAACTACCTCATATTAAAAAAATTACAAAGGGACAAACATCTGAGTTTGGCAATTTCAAGATCAGATTACTACTGATCTGGTCCTACAATGATACACAAGTCAATTTTACATACAAGAAACCCTTAAATTTTACTTTTCCACTAAAACTACCAAGTCCTATAAAAATAAGCCAGTATCATATTATCAGTAATTATATTTAAAATCAAAGCAGACTATGTTTTTAATAAACACTGTATTTACTGAAACTTACTCAATTTTTACAAAATTGAATGTAGAATTCTAATACTTAACCATGAGGAAGTTATACATCCTCTTATATCAGTATTTCTGTTAATTTTTCTGGAGCCTTACTGGACCTCATTCCAAATTATGGACCTAGTAAAAGATGTACACACGTCTACTTTGGATTAAATTACGCTATTTGAGCAAGAATCAAATGCGGGTGGTAAGTTAAATGCAACTTCGTCTTTTGCATGAGATAGACTCAAAAGACTGCTAGCATGACTCCTTAACCACCTTAATATAAGGAAAGTCTTACCACTCTCTTTCCAAGTCACACATTTCCATCCTTCCACAAGACTGGGTCACTGGAGCTTTTTAAAATACAAATACAGGGGCCGGGGAGATGGCTCAGTAGAGTAAGCGCTTCCCTGGTAAGAACATGGGACTGAGTTTAATCCCCGGTTCCACCAAAAATAAATAAATAAATAAATAAATAGGCCCTTAAAAATGTTAGCCCCTGCTATATATATCTGTTTAGCTTCGGGAAACCTTTTCCTCAGAAGAAAAATGATATCTAACTCTCAGGATGATCTCTACAAGTGGATACTTGGTCTTGGCCGCCTGGGGTGTCCAACAATAGAGGACCTTGTGTGATCAGACAGAACTGCTACATCAAGAAGACTTCCACGTTCTAGATTTTTTTTTTTTAATTCTGGTTTAGCAGGATATGAACTGGCTGTCCTGAAGAGACCGATGCTTTCCTCTCTTCCACAACGGATGGCCTCTACAAACTTAACCACGTAGTGGAATAAATTGCTCTTTTTGTGATCCGTATTTTACATGGGAAATGCTGCATATACATACAAAACTTAGTAATTGCAATGCTCACTTTAAACCTTTTCTAGACATAAAATATCAGGGGCTTGGAGGAGGGTAGAGAACACAGGAAGTGAAGAGGAAACTGAATTATATGCAAACACCCCCAACTCGAATCCACGTGGTTACTGCAGGAGAAACGACGATAAATACGATTTCGTGTAAGGCAATGTCCTTTGAATGGGCTCCCAGAGCGTCAAGGCCCCCACCTGAAGAATGGGTGACTCAGGAAGGCCCAGCTCTTCAAGACGCTTGGGGATACTGAGGAACGAGGCGGTGAGACGACTGGCCTGAGGCCTCGCAGAGAGATCTGAGGCGGAGCGGAAAACCAGACGCACCGGTTCTCTCAAGGCAGATGCTCTGATCTCAGGTCCCCCCGCCCCTAGGATGGCGTTGACGTCCCCGGCCCCCCGAATCACACACACCCTCCCTGGGGGACCACAAGTCTCTTTAGGTTCCAAGGACAGAGCCAAAAGACTGGGCCCCGAAGAGCTCCCGCCTTGATTCGCAGCCCGGGAGCGTTGGGAGCGTGCGTGCCTCCGGTCCAACATGGCGGCGCCGCGTCCGCCCCCACCCCCCACCCCAGCCTCCTCAGGCCGAGGATTCCCCTCGGGGCCCTCCGGTGGGCGGGAAGGTGGCCCAACCCCGCCAGGACCCTTCTCGCCGCGGCCGCTGCTCGCTGAAGGAATCACCTACCCGACATGACTAAGGGCCGCGGAGCTGAGGCCCCAGAGCCCGCCAAGAACAAGGAATACGAGAGCCAGGCGGCGCGGCGGCCGGAGTTGTTCTGAGGGCGGAGCGGCGGGCTGAGGCGGACTGCGGGGCGGTGGCAGCCAATCAGCGTGTGGAGGGCGGCACCACAGCATCAGGGAGGGAGGGGTGATTGTACGCTAGTACCAACCTTTGAATCCTGGGAGGACCCCGTTCTCCCCTCCGCGGACGGTACCATTATTGAGAGGGAATCGAGAAAGGAAAGTACCAATGCAGTTATCGTGATGGGGTAGGAAGCTGGGTAGAGTGCTTTGTAATCCTCCCTTTCACTTTATTTGGTCTGCTACAATTCGAAGTTATGAATCTAAAGAGGCAGTATCTGATAAACACAAACTATTCAGTTACAAAAGGACTTTGTTCGCCGAAAATTTAGAATGGTATGTCCTAGTTCGCTCGGATTTTTGCTGCAGAGTTTGAGCCGCCTGGGGGCGTTCAGAGTCTGAGGGACTCCTGGGCCGAGAGTCGTGACTGAAAGTCGGGTATCTCCTGGCTTGTTTTGACTGCCTGAACCAAAAGGAAACAAGGTGAAACCAAAAGAAAAAGGAAAAAAAAAAAAAATAATAATAATAATGCGATAAAACGTAATCACGTAAACCGCACCCCGAGAATGAGGCTGGACAGCGGAGCAAACGAACAGCTAATTTAATTGTGAGCATCTTTCATCATCTCATTTAATTCTCAAAACAGACTGATGAAACATTATCCCTGTGTTGCAGTTAAAACAGAATCTACTTGCCTTGGTCGCAAGCTAGTAATCGACCAAGTTGAAATTTGAAGGCTGGGCACCCCACGCAATTGTGGATTTAAGCTTACTTCGTAAGTACTACAGGAACGTAAAACCCAGTAGTAGAAAAAAAGCCTGGAGGGGCTGGTGAGATGGCTCAGTGGTCTAAAGCACCTACTTGGAACAAGCTTAGCAAAGCACAGGGACCACGGTTTAATCCCCAGCACCACATGCCAGCCAGCCCCGCCCCCTGCTGGGCTGAGCTGGCCACACACACACACACACACAAATAATAAATAAAAAATAATAATAAATAAATAAAACATTTTTTTAAAAAAGAAAAAAAGCCTGGAAAAACTCTGACAAGTACCAAGGACATCTTCCCAGAGGTTGTGACACCTAAACCAAAATCCCTACGTGATGAACAGAGGTTGACAGAGTTGAAGGAGTGGGCAAAAGATTGTCCCCCATACTAGTTGTAGAATTAGTAATTTAATATATTTGGTGTATAACCCCCAAGGGAAAGTTAGAGATGATGCCAGGCATAGCTGCAGCCTTGTAGATTCAAGTGTGAAAGCAGTAGGAACCACCCACCAACGCACTTTAAAGAAGAGCTAAGATCAGATTCGTATTCTCCAGCTTCAGGATGAAGGATGCCTGGAAATGAGAGGTGCCTGAGAGATGGGAGACCAATTAGGTGGCCAATGTGATAATTCTACTCAGAGTTCAAACAAGCAAGGCTAAAGAAATAAACACACTAAAAGCCATTTAACTATCTAGCCTCTATGTTGAGGAAGACCAACTCAAGAGAGTTTAGTAAGTGTGATATCAGAAAGAAGGGGGTTATGAAGCCGGAAAAATTTTCCAAGCTCTTAAAAAAAGAAAGAAAGAAATACATAAAGTGTTATTCAACGTTGACTTCCTAAATTTGTACCATCATTCACTCATTCTTCACTCACCTGCCCCCTCCTGGTGTCATAATCCACATAGAACCTGGAAGCTCTGGAGATAAGAGAAATAAGTATGTCCCCTGACCAACAGGAACTGTGGTCTTTTAAAGAATGATACAGACCTGGGTGTGGTGGCCCATGCCTATAATTCCATCTACTCAGGAGGCTGAGACAGGTAGATCGTAAGTTCCAGGCCAGCTTGGGCAACATAGGCTCTGTCCAAAAAAAAATATATATATATATATATGATACAGGGTCTCACTACACAGTTCAGATTCATAGTGATCCTCCTGTCTCAGCCTCCCCAGCACTGGGATTACAGGCGTGTGCCATCACGCCTGGTTTCGGGGCAGCACAGAGCGCCCAGGGATCCAGGACCCACATGGCATGCAGTACCAGGGATCGAATTTGGGTCTTTGCTCTTTCCAGGCAGGCGCTTAGACCACCACACTATCTCCCTGGCCCAAAATAAAATAAAAGACTGGGGCTATAGTTCAATGAGGAGCACTTTCTTAGCATGCATAAGGCCCTATGTTCAATCTCCAGTACCACATAAGGGGATGGGGTACAAACCTATGGTTCTGACCAATTGCTGAATGTGCTAGGTAGGATTGACTGATGCACATTTGATGTTCCAAAAACACAGAGGAAGGGGGGTGGAGAGAGAGAGACAGAGAGAACTGCACCCACAGGAACAGTAGAGGGTAGCAAGAAAGGCTATCTCCAGGAGATGTCTTTGAACCTGAACTTTGAAAAAAGGAAAGGAGTTAAGCAGCAGAGGTGTACCAGGAATGGCACATACCATGCCAAAAGGACTCCATTTGCTGTCCTAGGACAGCAGAATTTTTCAGAATTGCAGGTGGTCCCTCCTGACTGCTCTGTAGAGTTGCCAGTGTAAAAAAAAAGTGGTAATAGAGTGAAAAAAGCAAGCAGAAGCCACCTCCTGAAGAGCCCTATGACCCTTACAGAGGAGTTTGGACTTTAAATTTGAAATAATAGGGAATCATCTGAAGAAGCTAGTCAAAGGAGTGGCATTTAATTTTCTGTGTCCCTTATCTCTTTCTAAACACAGAAAGCCTTACGAAACAGCACTGTTTTCCTCATTTTTGCGGTTGACAGCCCCAAAGCTCAGAAGGGCAGAATCCTTTACCACATTCCCACAGCCAACAGACACAGAAGCAGAACCCCCTACCAGGCCTTTGAACTAAGCTTAGTGATCTTTACATGGTGTTCCAACCTTCCAAACTTGAAACAGAAAGCTCCCCCCCCCCATGTCTGCACTGCTCTGGGACTTCTTTTCCACCACAAACACACTCATGTAGACCCCTCCATCTTCCTGCCATCCAGACTTTTGCCTCAGATGATTCCATTAAGAATACATCTCTGCAGCAAGCTGTCATCTTCACCCAGTTATTCTTCATACTGCACAATCCTGCTCCACATACTGGATGTACACTGTCATGACTCCAGTCTATCTTCAGGCCATTGCTTCCAGCTAGACTTGCCCAATGGGAGACCTGGTGGGCAATTAGATGTAAACAGAGAAAGAAAGGGAAGAGAATGGAGGGCTATTTTGTCCCCTCCTCTGCCTCAGAGAATGTCCAGTGTTCCAGTTTCTATTGGTGACTCTGGCACCTGTGCTCCACAGTCTGCCTCCCCGCTTTGTCTCTTCTGCTTATTGCTGACATGTCCTGTTGCCATTGATAATTTCTGAGTTCCTCCAGCTAGTATATAGCTTCCCAACCACTCCAACTACTGGTGTAGGCTTTGTAAGAATATTCTGAGGGGTTAAGGAGATGGCTCAGTGGAATAAGCACTTCCCTGGCAAGCATGAGGGCCTGAGTTCAATCCCTTGTTCCACCAAAAAAAAAAAAAAAAAGGAACATTGTGAGGACTAGAGATTTGCTTAGGGTTAAAGTGGAAGCCATCTGAGGGAGCCATTTAAGTAGGAGCCTGACTTGCTTTACCAGGACTTCTCTGGCTATGGTACTGAACATATGCATCAGGGACAGCAGGGAGAGGTTATTGCTCAGATCAAAGCAAAATTCAGACCACAGTGAAATCCCGTGGAACTCACAGTTGTACCAACCACATAATTCAAGGCTTTCATACATTCTGTGATTGGACAGCATGAATAATTCCCATCTGAACCTCTAGTGCCTCACACATTGCCAATAGAAACTTTTTTTAAAGAAAGGAGGGATCTTGTGTTTAATAAATGAATAAGTAAAAGCAACAAGAAAAAGAGTATGAGTTGTCTTCCAGCTTGCCTATAAACTCCTCAAGCTTTAAAACATCATCTAGCACTCCCCAACATCTCCTGTGGGACACAAAGTATGTCTGCTGCTTGAGTGTTTGTTGGAAGGATGACAACCACTCTGTGCGAAGTGCCATGGGCAACATGTAGCCATTGTCACTATTCTAAGATCTCCCCAGAGAGATGTCCCTGTTTCTTTGGTCTTCCTAGAGAGCAGGTCTCCAGAACAATTACCCTGAGACTCCAAAGCTACAGTAGGAGTCTCCTTGGAAATGACCGGGCTGCCCAGTCCTCCCAACTGCGCAGGCACTTCCTGTTTGGGGTGGAAAGGAACCAGACACTTTCCTGTTAGCAGGTCTTTTAAGCAAAGCAGCAGATGCTGAGCAGGTCCTGGCCCAGGCTTTCAGGCCAGATGCCTGGCGGGTAGACAGCCTTTATGTGGAAAGGAAGTAAGGCATAGTGCCAGATTGACTGGGCTTTTATTGTGCTCCTTGTAAGTCTCCTGGGTCCTGGTGTGAGTAAAAACAAACCAGAAGAGGCCTACATGTTGGTAAACCAGAGCTTGGGGATGTGGGGCTGCTCTGAGCCCCAGAGAAGTGCCTAGCAAGACAGTGCTTCTGCAGTTGTTCTTGGGAGCCCCTGGTATGTTGTGTGGATGTAAATGTACTCAAATGTAAAATTATGCATAAAATATACGCGAGTATCTTCATGCCTGTGCTCCTGAAATCCATCCAGCACAGTACTCATTTAAGTTTCTAATTCTCTCATTTGCTCCCTACAGCATGTCAGGACAATATAAAAAAGACAAGAATTCTCTATCCTATTGTCTCTTTTTAATGCAGGAATGGGGATTGAACCCAGCACTTTACATGGGTTAGGCAAGTGTTTTTCTACTAAGCTACACCTCCAACTTTCTCTTTCTCCCTTTTTTGTTTGTTTGTTTGTTTGTTTTTTGAGATACGGTCTCATTATGCAATTCGGACTGGTATTGTGCACACTTTTGTAGCCCCCAGGCTGGTCTCAAACTCAAGAGATCCTCCTGGCTCAACTTCCCGAGTGCTGGGATTATAGGCATGTGCCATCGTGCCTGGTTCCAGGGCTGAGACAGCACATCTGAGGATCCAGGGCCAAGACCACATAACATACAGGGTCAGAAATCAAACTTGGGTCCTTGTGCTTGCCAGGTAGGTGTTTATGCCTCTGAGCTATCTCCCTGGCCCCTCTTTGTCTCAATTTTTTTTCTAAATTTAGTACAGGGTCTGCAGGGTCTCCCGGGTCTACAGGATCTCTCTACATAGTAGTGATTCTCCTATTTTCAGCCTCCCAAGTGCTGGGATTACAGGTGCATGCCACCACGCCCAGTCTCAATCACCCTCTCAGCACACCCCGCGAGGGGGGCCAGGACAGCATGCTGGGGATTGAACCTGGCTGCTGTGCTCTGTCTAAGCAGGTGCTTTAGTCCACTGAGCTCTCTGGCCAGCCCTCTTTGTCCCGTTTTAAAATGGCAAAAATTCAAGAGAGCTGAGTTAACTTGCAGAGGTCACCCAGAGTGTGAAAAAGTCAGGATTTAAACACAGATCTGTCCTGCTCCAAATTTCTTGCTTTTTCCATGAGTATATATATATATATATATATATATATATATATATATATATTCCTGTAGAGGTAGGCGGGTGAGCTTGTGAATGTGGTCAAGCCTAAGGAACCCAAGGACCTGCGTTTGCTGGAGCAAGGAAACCTCTCCTCCACAGGCAGAGGTGGTTGCTAGAAAATCAGGACTTTTGGATCACAGTGAAACACATGGAAGCAACAGTAATGAACCCACATTATCCCAGCTGAAGTCCTCACAGCTCTGGAGAAAGCCTCTGTCCAGTTCTCTCAAGCTCATCCTTGGCCCATATTATTCCACTTATTCTTCCTATTCTTGTGGTTTCTTGAGGGTGGTCCTCCCATAAATGCCTTTCTCCAGGGCCCAGCATTCCTTCTGATAAAATCTACTTTGTGTTCTGCATATTTCCTGGGGAGGAGGAAAGGGCAGAGACAAAGCCAACTGTTCCTCCTATTATTTAGAGAGAAACTGAGGCTAGAGGTTCTTTGTACAGATTCACACCTGCTACCTGATTCAAGGTATCCTGCTGTGGCCTTCTGTCAGAGCAGGAGAGATGGGCCTGAGTGGCAGCTGCTAGCCACCTCTTTGGCAATGCCCAAGACCCACTAGGAGTTCTACAGAAGTCCTGTGCACTCTGGAACAGCTGGGAAGCCATTTGGAGTTGAGCCAAACCCAGGACTGAGAGCGGAAGGAAAGGGCGGTAGTACTCTTTGAACAAGAGGTGTCAGCCGGGTCAGAAGCCACTCTACCAGCGTGGGGTAGGAGGGGAGGGGAGAACCAGACCATTGGAAAATCCGGAGCTGTCTTCCTCTGTGTTCCTCTGGCACTGAGTATTTAGTAATTCACTTGGTCTGGAATGGGCATCAGAATCTGAAATTTGGGAGGAGCGTGGTTGGGCCTGATGACTACTAAGCAAGCAGTCTGTCCTCCAGCCCAAGTGCTTCTAGGTGATTCACTGCCAGTGCCCAAGAACCACATGTTTTAAGTTTGACTTGAAGCAACATAGTATAGTAGTACAGCTCCAGAGTCTGGAGTTATGCCATACAGGATTGAACCCTAGCTCCATCACTAGATTATAACCTTGGGCAAAGGACAGGATCTCTGTGCCTCAAGTTCTTCATCTTTAAAGTAAGGATGGTTATCACAGTTTTTCATGAGCAAGTTACAGAGATTCAATGACATGAGTTACATAAACCACATACCACCTATATGGCACATATTAATTTTTTTCAATAAGATGTTATTGGTACATTTGAGATATACATAATGATCATATTCAATATAGAAAATGTGGAGCCAGGGAGATAGCTCAGTAGAATAAGTGCTTGCCTGGCAAGTGCAAGGGCTTGAGTTCAACCCCCGTTCTGCAAAAGAAAAAAGGAAAGAAAGAAAAACAGACTGTGTGCCTGTACTTGATTCTTTTGCCCATTCCCCTACCCTCTCTTCAATCTCTCCTACCAGCCCCACTTATAAAAGCGTTGTTTCCATTTCTTCCTCCTTTTCTCACTTTTTTACTTTTGTTTTCTTTCCTCTCCCCCCTCCTCCCTCTTTTATTCCCCTCCACATTCGAACATTTCTTTCCTATTTCACAATACCTAACTTACATTTTGGTCCTTCTTTATACTTTCAATTTTCACACCAGAGAAACAATGCATATTTACATATGCGTATCTAATTTAGTTCATTTATGAGTATTGGCCTAAGGAATACCCATTTACCTAGGAATGTCTCAAGCTTATCCTCTTTGTTTTTTTTTTTGTTTGTTTGTTTGTTTGTTTACATTCTTCCTAGTGGTTAATTGCTCTACAAGATGCGGACTTGATATCCTATTTACAAACACCATTAGAACAAATCATTCTATTCATTAAGAGAATGTAACTATATATATATATATAGTGAAGGTGGGGAATAACTTTGGAGCAGGGATATATATATATCCAAACCACTTTGAATACACAGATACAATCGTCTGTATACCCTTTTTTGTTAAGTTCCATTATTTGAATATTATAGATGTGTAAACTCAGCAAAATATTCTAAAAGAGTCCAGTAGCCCATAATAGTATTGGGTCTTCCACTTCACTGGCAATGTCAGAAATTGTTGACCTGAGTCCCCCACAGCTCAACATAACAGCATGGCTTTACTTCTTATATTTCGTTTTTATACTTTTCCGCTGGATGGCCAAGACCAAGGTAAAGCAGGACCTATGCAACAAGAGTTGTAGCTTTTGGGTCTGATAAGGTCAGTGAAATCCCCTCAGGATTTATCCCGAGTATCCTCTTTGTTTGTTTGTTTGCTTTTTTTAGGTAGGGTCTCACTGGCCTTAAACTCAGGATGTAGCTCAGGCCAGCCTCAAGTTCACAGTGATCCTCCTGCATCAAGCTTCCCAAGTGCTGGGATTACAGTGTGTATCGCCACACCCAGCAAGCTTATCCTTCTTTAGAGCAGAATAGCACTGCACTGTACCTTTTAAAAAAAAAAAATCACATCTTTATCCATTCTCAAGTTGATGGACATTTGGGGTGTTTCCAAGATTTGGCTATTACAAATTGTAGCACATATTAATTTTGCAACAAGTGTTGATCATTATTATTTGTTCCAACTCCTCATTCCTATCCCTACCCTTACTCTCACCAGAGGAAAAATATACTAATATTGGGACCCTAGGAGGGTCTGTTGCCAAAGTATTGTTTTGGATGGGGGCATCTTTGGAATGTGCTTTGTGAATCCCTGCTCCAAAGTTATTCTCCACCTTCACTATGGAATGAACTCTTTCCAGTAAATTGCTGTCTTTCTCGTCTTCCTTTCTCCTCAGATCTCTTCTGACTCCTGAGCGTGAATGCAGTAAGCTGTCCTCCTTTCCCACCTTATCCAATGTTATTTGGCTCTGGCTATATCCTAGAAAATGGAAACATACATCAGGTCCGTTGTGAAGCTTTGCAAGCTTCTTGAAGAAGATTCTGGAATTCAATACTGTGGGATTAAGGAATAATTTTTGGAGGTGAAAAGGGACTAAAGCCCGCTGTTACTCACATGCTAGCTATAGAAACCCACTCCCTTCATGGGAAATAAGAATATCTTTGCAAAGGTGTGGTTGAAGCCCAGAGTGACTGTGTGGGTAAAGGAGAGTCTGCTGTGCCTTAATTCTTACATGTACCTTCAGGTGCAAATGGCATCTCTAAGGAACCACAAGCAGAAATGGAGTGGGAAAAGATCAGGCTACAAGAAAACAACACAACCAACAAGATGAAATGAAATCAATTTTCAAATGCAGCAAACTAATTCCAGTTTGAGGGGTCTGTGGGCCTGGATTAACCTGGGATGCAAAGATAGGTGAGATCAGCATCTGTCTGCTGTCAAGCTTGTTTCCTCCAAGAAATTCAGCTCTCCAGAGAACCAGAGCTTCCCTCTCCTCCCCTCTCCTCCTCTCCTCCCTTCTCCTCCCCTCTCCTCTCCTTTCCTCTGCTCTCTTCTCCTCTCCTCTCCCCTCCCTTCCCTCCCCTCCCTTTCCTTCCCCTCTCCCTTCCCCTCCCCTCCTGTCCTGGACTCTCCTCTGTTCTCTTCCTCATCCAGCCAAAATGGAGAACCTCTGGCATATACTGGAAGAAGTGATAGAGAGATTTTGCCTGGAAAAAGACTTAGAGAGTGCAGACCAGACTCCAGGTCAGCCCACAGTGTCTTCACCTACTGATGTTTTTCCAAGTCTCTTGTTCCAAAGCTGGGCTTTCTGAAGCATCAGAATCCACCTTCTGGTCAGGGTTACCATGTGCCCTCATCATACCTGTTACTTATTTATACACACACATCCTGGGTTGTCAGATAAAAATAGATAGTGTTCAGTTAAACCATACTTTCAGATTAGTGATGAATAATTTTTTAGCATCAGTATGCCCCAAATACTGCATGGTGTCCATTTGGATTAAACAGTTATTTGTTATCAATGTGATAGTCAAGTTTAATGGAGGGTTCTATAGTTTTATTTGCTGCTTCTAGGAGCTCTTTCCTCTTCAGAATCTCTCCCCAGGGGCATGGCAGGATTTTCTTTGAACCAGCTGCCAAGTCAGTCCATTCTGTCTTTGGCTGAGAACCTTCCTTCTGGTCAGCACATTTAGACTGGATGCTCTCTGAGAGCAAGACTTTCCAGCATCTCTAAGGCAGCACGCTAGAAGGGATGCTTGTATAGATGTACACAAGGGCACCCTGGGAGAGGGACACAGACGAGCAAAGAAAGCTATCCTCCACTTTGTTCCCAGCTGATCTCTGGCAGACATAGTGAGTTTAGTTTTGTTCAGTAGGATTTTAGCAATTTTTTTTTTCGGTACCGGGGATTGAACTCAGGACCCTGCGCTTGCCAGGCAAGCGCTTATTCTACCGAGCTATCTCCCCAAACCCCAGTAAAAATTTTCATGGAAATCTTTTCACTGCCTAAGATTTCCTAAGACTGTAATGGGCTGTATAAGGCACTTTGCCCTCATTTTCTTTTCTTCTTGCAAGTTTGGGAACTAAATTAATCTTTCTTACCTGATCTTCCTCTCTCACTCTCGTGTGTGTGTGTGTGTGTGTGTGTGTGTGTGTGTGTGTGTGTTTCTGCACTGTGGATTGAACCCAGGGCTCTTGCATGCTAGGCAAGTGTTCTACCACTGAAGTACTTCCCCAGGCCTATTTTTTTTAAATAAGGAAACTGACCTCCAAGTAATTCAATCACCTCTCAAAGGTCACAAAGCTAAAGCCTATCATTTATGCTCGTGATGCTAGTTATTTATAGACAATATTATGAAATTTGCCCAACAATCACACGATATGTGTATGTTTGAGGTTTTGTTTTCTTTATCGTGCAGAGTCTCACTACGCAGCTCAGATTCATAGTGATTCTCCTGTTTTCTGCCTCTGTAGTGCTGGGATTACCGGCGTGCGTCACGGCGTGCGTCACCACAGCTGGACCATGCCAGGCCCAGGGATCAAACCTTGGACCCTGCACTTGCCTAAGCAAGCGCTTAATCCGCTGAGCTACCTCGCCAGCCCTGATTATCTGTATTATTGATATCCCCCTTTCCTAATGTGAAAATTGGATTCAGAGGTGGTGAGAGACTGGTCTAAGACTGTGCGGTCAGCGAGTGGCTGCCGCAGGAGTTCCAAAAAACCGTACCTAAAACGCAAACCTAATCTTTCAGATCTTCTGCCACACCCAGGGCTTCACACCCGGCCAGACAGAAATAAACCACGACCCGGGGCCACTCCTCGCCAAAGTGTGCCAGATCTTTCTTCTTCGGCCTCGGCCGTGCCCAGAGAGATCCAACTGGAGGTGGCAGGCGAGACAAGCTGTCCGCAGGGCTAGGCGTGCAGGCAGGGGAAGAGGCTCTGGGACCGCGGCGCGGCGCTGCAGTCGCGCAGGATGGGTGGGACCGAAGGGGATGCCGCGCCCGCCTCCTCTGGCCCCTCCTCCCTCCCGCGGTCATCGGACTGGCGGACCCGGGGCAGGCACTGCCGGGGCGGACGACCTCGGCAGGCTCCAGACTGAGCGACCCAGGTCACGGAGCCAGGCACGGGCGAGCCCCTGGGACCGTGTGTGCCCGAGAGGCGGCGGCGCAGCGCTGGCGCATCCCCTGGCTCCCCGGCGCAGCTGACCGACGGCCGGCGCCCCGTGCGCCAGGCTCGCTGCACCGGGTTCTGGGAGCAACAGGCACGATGGTGGCGCGCGGGGGTCTCCTGCTGCGCGCCCTGCCGCTGCTGCTGTGGGGTGGCCTGGACGCCCAGCGGGCCGAGCACGTCAGCCAGGAGCTGCGCAAGGAGGCGGAGGTATGGGGTGTGCGCCTGGCGGAGATTTGCAGCTCAGCCACCTGGGAGTCCCGTCGGAGCGGACAGTCTGCGGGTGCGCCCTTCACGCTGGCACCCAAAGAGCAGGGGCGGAATTCGTGCCCGCGCCAAGACTGAGAACATACGGGCACACTGGCCCGCATTGATTGTTGCGGGCCGGGGCGGGGACAGCGACCGGTCGGGACTGGTAAACTGGGGCTGCCCGGGAACCCCAACTCTCACCACCTAGACTGGGGAAATCCGACGTTCATTCACGGGAATAGTTCCCGAGAGCGGTGTCGAGGAGGGCGTCCTGCTAGGTGCTTGAGCTCTGCGAGAGCGCTGGCCCCCGCCGTGGGCTCCCCTGCCCAGCTAGTGCGGTCGCTTCAGCAGCTCAGAAGCACGTTCTCTCCATGTGCTGATTTCAACAGTGTTTCAGAGCTGAATTTCAAAGGGGGCGGGGAGTAAAACAAAGATTTCCCACTTCACTCTTCTGCGACCAACCGGCTAGTGTGTGCTGCAAGGTTGCACAAGGGGGATTTTTTTTTTTTTTTTAAGATGGGCCGTCTGTTTTCCATATAAAGGTGACTGTGATAGCATAGCCCTGTCTCTCCGTTCTTTCTCATAATCTCCGCGTTATCCTTCTCAAGGATAGGTGCGTTCATCCCACTATTTAAAGTAGGGATGTACACACATCCTAAATTACTGCTCCCAACGCTCAGTCCTGAGACTCTTGGTCCTCTAAGAGTTTCCTTTCTGCCCTAAAGCTGCTAATCACAAGCTTCTGGGTACCCTCCCTACTCCCCTTTCCTAGAAGGGACCAAATGAATGTGGGAAACACGCAGAGGGTAGCCTTTCTGAATGATTTTTTTCCCCCATCTGCCAGCTGCTATCACTACTCTGAAATATTTTTTGCGGAGCTGGGGATTGAATCTAGGTCCTTGAATGCGACAGGCAAGTGCTCAACCACTGAGTTATATCCCAAGCCTCCCCTTTTTTTCCTTTTAACTTTGAGTCTCTCTGAGTTGCCCAGACTGTCTTCTGACTTTCAGTCCTCCTGCTTCAGTCTCCCCAGCAGCAGAGATTACAGACATTTGCCACCGCATACAGCATCTGGAATACTTGCAAAAGAACTTGTTTCAACAAAGGAATCTCTCTCCACCTCCTGCAGCCCCTCCCCTTCCAAGCACTGGTCTTCTTTCCTTGTGCTCTTCGCTTTGTTTCTGTGAATTTAGACTCTTACAACATCAATTGCAGAGTCCCAGGGCCCCAGGAGATGGCTTCCACCAAGCCAAGTCTTGTCAAGGGTCCCACCCCACCTCCCACCAAGTTCAGTCTGGGGCAATCATTGGCAGAGGAACAGAGACAATATCTCTGCTGCCCATGCCTGTGGTGGCCCCAGATGGAGAGAATTTCTTCTTGGGGTATGCTTGGGAAACTTAATATCTAGCAGATTGAGTCCCTTTTAATCTACTTAACATAAACTGGGTGGTGGTAGTGGTAATTCTAAGCATAAGAAATACTTTAAAAGCTCAAAACTCTGGAAAATATATGTTTGTTTCTGTGTGGTTAATTGCATGGACTTCCAGACCTATATGCAAACCAGGGTAATTCATTTAAACACCTGAGGTCCAGTTCCCAGTACACACACACACACACACACACACACACACACACACAGTTCTGGCTCGGGGATTATCTCTCCCAAACAATACCACAGAACAAAATGTGTGATGCAACTATTTTCAGCGCTGGACAAATGAATTCCTTGAGGTACAATTCCTCAGCAGTGGTATTGGGATTACTATGGCTACATCACAGATTACCCCAAAATTTAGTGAAATAGCACAACCCTTTCTTAAGTTCACAGATACTGTGGGCTAGAATTTCAAACAAGACACATCAGGGCTGCTTACCTCTTCTACAGTGTCTGGGGCTAGGAGCCTTTAAAGGCTGCTTACTCGCATTCCTGCAGTCGGTGCTGGCTGTTCACAGAGGGCCTCAGTTCTAGTCCATGTCAGTCTTGTCTGCTTGATCTCCCTCTCGGCGCTACTTTAGGTTTCTTCACAATGTAGTGAGTGCTCAGGATGGTGGGGTGGGAGGAGGGGCAACAAATGAATGGTTTTTATAACCTAGACTTGGAAGTTGCCTAGCATCTCCTCTGCTGTACCCCCCTGGCTAGAGCAGTTTCATGCCCCACCCAGGTTTAAGGAAGATGGAACATGGATCCTGCATTTGGTGGGACAAGGATTTGTAAGAAGAGTGCAAGAATGGGAGATATCCTTGTGGTCATTTAGGAAAACAATCATCACCAAAGACAGAGTGAGCCCCATGATCACCCTAGCTCTGAGCTCTGGGATAAGTCCCTTGAGTCTGGTGCTGGGAGCAAGGCTCCAAGCAGAGCAGAATCTAGCTGAGCTGAGGTGGCAAAAGCCACAGTTCAGAGCCAGTGAACAGCTGGAATCCATGGAGCAGTGCGTCACAAAGGAGGAGATTTTGGTGACAGGAGTTCCCATCAGGCTATATGGGGGTTCACTACAAATCCTTGCCTGAGGACCATGCTGGCATGTGTGGGTTGAGATTCTGTGATGCTTACAGAAAACAGCTGCTATGTGACTGAGAACAGAAAGGAGACTGTAGAAGTTGAGCAGTTCTGGAAGATGTTAAGGGTCTGGCCCAGACGAAAAGGAAAACACTTGATTACGTCAGGAATCCATGTGAAATTACCATAATACCACATTCTAGGGGTAAGGAGCATGGTCTAAAGGCCTACTCTACAAAGCTCAGAAGTTGGTAGACACCAAACACTTTTTCCCTTGGCACAATTTCCTTAAAGGACATCCATTTAAGACAAAAATAGTAACATTGTAAGTTGGGCCTGTAACACATGCAAAAGTTTTGACAGTAGCACAAGGTATGGGGGGCAGGAAAATAGAATTCTGCTGCTGTGAATAATACATTTGTAAACTGAGAATGTCAGGTGTGAGGCAGGAAATGGGATGTGTCAAGTGGGAAGTGTAAAGTACTCTAATATTGGTATAATATTAACTCTGAGGGGACTAAAATAGGTTGAGGATGTACTAAGATCGTTTAAGGAAGCCACACACACACACACACACACACACACACACACCCCAATTTAAAACCAAGCCTTGACAAGATCTGGAGACTAATTTCTGCTGAACTTTTTATATCCTGGAAATTTCACATACTTGGAATTATATAAAATGTGGTCTCTTGTGACTGGAAAAGTAGGGATTCTAATATTTTTTTCTCGGGGCCGGGGAGATGGCTCAGTGGAATAAGTGCTTCCATGGCAAGCACAAGAGTCTGAGTTCAAACCCCGGTTCTGCCA